AAGGGTATCATGCTTAGCGAAATAAGTCAATCGGAGAAAGACAACTATCATATGATCTCCCTGATATGAGGAAGTGGAGATGCAACATGGGGGGTTAAGGGGGTAGGAGAAGAATAAATGAAACAAGATGGGATTGGGAGGGAGACAAACCATAAGTGACTCTTAATCTCACAAAACAAACTGAGGGTTGCTGGGGGGAGAGGGGTTGGGAGAAGGGGAGTGGGGTTATGGACATTGGGGAGGGTATGTGCTATGGTGAGTGCTGTGAAGTGTGTAAACCTGGCGATTCACAGACCTGTACCCCTGGGGATAAAAATATATGTTTATAAAAAATAAAAAGTAAAAAAAAAAATCTTTAAAAGAAAAAAAAAAGATTTTATTTATTTATTTGACAGCGCAAGTGAGAAAGCACAAGCAGGGGGAGCCACAGAGGCAGAGAGAGAAGCAGGCTTCCCACAGAGCAGGGAGTCTACAGGGCCTTAATCCCAGGACCCTGGATCATAACCTGAGTCGAAGGCAGCCGCCTACCCAACTGAGCCACCCAGGCACCCCCTCCCCAACTTTTTATTATGAAAACTTTCAAAGATACAAAAAAGATGAAAGGATAGTACTGCGTGTGTGTGTGTGTGTGTGTGTGTGTGTTTTGGTGGAAACTCTTGGAAGTTGCAGGCATCATGACATGTCACCTCTAAATGCTTTAGCATAGGTGACCTAAACACGTGGTCATTCTACACAACAGCTTTTAACAAGAAAGGTGTTATTATGTTGTCTTTTGTCCGTCTCAGTCTGTCTATGGTGATGCTATCAGCTGGGAGCGCCTGTTGGGGGTCACTCACCTGGGTCCCGCATTACTTGTGATGAGCCCGTATTTGAGCTCGTATTGTAACTGGATCAGCCCTGGTGGTTACGATCACAAGACACACCTCAGTAACAGCCATCAGGGAACTTTGAAAAAACCCAAGGTTTATCACTTACATGCCCTAGAGGGTACACAACACACCCCAGACCACAGAACAAGGGGTGCTTCAACAGGGCACAGATTGGGGTTGACAGTGGGCTGCCTAAGGTTTTGGTGAACTGGTGAACTGAAAATGTAAGAGCAAGAATTAAAGGGTGGGAAGGGAAAAGTAGGGCCCCTCAAGTTCTGTGGGTCACTCGGGGCTTTCTAAAAGAGAGACTTCCTGTGTGGGGCAGCCTGGCCGTGGTATGTAGCAGGCAGTCTTGTTTATTTGAGATGTCTTTGCAATGGAGTCTCAAAAGCTTAAGTTCAGGCACGTTACAAACAGAAAAGCTAACTGTCGGGCATTTATATTTTCGCATTTGTTCATTTTTATATCTTAAAGAGTTGTGAAAAATTTAAGGAAGCTTGGAATTTGTATCAGGCTTTTTTCTGAGACAGGGTCCCAGCGGCTTCAATGAATGAGTAGATTCCTCTGTCTGACTCTCGGCTGCCGTCACAGGACCTCTCAGTACATGCGATCAGTAGATGGCGAGACACTACAAACCACAAACAAGGAATAGCAGCGCCCACTGCTTTTCAGTGAGGGGGGCTTCTGGCATGAAAAAGTTAAATTTTTTTTAAAATATTTTATTTATTTATTTGACAGAGAGATCACAAGTAGGCAGAGAGGCAGGCAGAGAAAGAGAGGGAAGCAGACTCCCCGTTCAGCAGAGAGCCTGATGTGGGGCTCGACCCCAGGACCCTGAGATCATGACCTGAGCTGAAGGCAGAGGCTTAACCCACTGAGCCACCCAGGCGCCCCTAAACTTTTTTTTAATGGTGAGTTTGGATGGCTGTCCACGCAACTGCCTCTGAATTTCTTACAATCATCAGTGAGTCAGTTGGAAAACAGAGTTTATTTAAATGGATACTCGTCATTCCTGCAAGGGAAAAAAAGAAAGCCCACACGATGTACTTCCTAGCTCCTACTACCACAGAAATTCTGACTGTGACGGTGCAGAACTTTTTTCCTGCTAAGCACATCACATGACATTCTGCATTTTCATAATAAAGATTGTAAGCTGCAAAAGGCTTACTTGTTTGCTGAAGTCTTTCAATAAATATTTTACAAGCTTTGCCAGAGACAGATTTGTCATCTGGTGGACACAGTGTCTGCATCTTAAGGTGATTCAGCAACAGAAGAGGTGGTGTCAAAACTGAGGCCTGGCAGCTCCTGTCCGTGGTGCCTTTGTTTCACTTTTAGGTATGCCCAATGCTGCTAGGGCTCTTGGAGCAAGACACCGCCAAGGTGTGGGAAATGCTTCCTTAGCAGAGTACTGCTGCTCTACGATGGTTCCATCTTCTCTCCAGTCTGGGGCTTTTGGATTAATATACCAACCAAATTTGTTTCATTACAAGTCTGTTTATTAACATCACGCGTAATGGTGATCAGACCTACGTTCTCTGGCACTTCACTATAAAGGATTTTGCTCCTTGAGGGATGGCGGCACCATGTCCTTTTTTGGATTCCTCACACTGTAGTCTCTGTATTAACTACTTTGTGCTAACGTCACTACATACTGAACTAAATGGAATCAGTATTCATATATATATGTTTATATGTATATGTGTATGTGTTTATATATGTATGTGATTAGTTTCACAATCAGAAGAGTACAACTTTTATTAACCCTATAGATACAGTCCTATTCAAAAGGGGAAATCAGGGGCGCCTGGGTGGCTCAGTGGGTTAAAGCCTCTGCCTTCGGCTCAGGTCACGATCCCAAGGTCCTGGGATCAAGCCCCGCATCAGGCTCTCTGCTCAGCAGGGAGCCTGCTTCTTCCTCTCTCTCTCTCTCTGCCTGCCTCTCTGCCTACTTGTGATCTCTGTCTGTCAAATAAATAAATAAATAAATAAATATTTTAAAAAAAAAAGGAAATCAGAATGAATAGCAAATTTAAAGAGTTGGAAATTTTCATGTCTACATAGGTATTAAAATTTTAGATTTTATTTTCACCACTGATAAACCGATATGGTAAGGGAAATTACTTGGTATCAGGAGGTTGAAGACTAGGGCAGACTTGTTGCCTCTCTGTACGTTGAAGGTGGTTGGCTCTTTTATAAGGACACAGGAAGCTTTATGTGCCTGCAAACCATTTATATTTGCAATGGAGAAGATACAAATTACCCATTTAATATTCTTTTTCTGTAAAAAGCCTACCAGAAACCTTTAATTTCCTCTCTTCTGGATTACTCTTAAATGTTTACCTGATGCCAGCAAAATGTATATGTGTTCTTTTAATTACTTTGTCTTCTGACAACTAAAGCACCAGAAACAAAACAAATGAGCAGAGGGAAAAAATAGAGCAAGAGAGAGGCAAACCAAGAAACAGACTGTTAACTATAGAGGACAAACTGATGGTTACCAGAGGGGAGGTGGGGGGAGGGGGAGCTCAGTGGGTGATGGGGAAGAAGGAGAGTTCTTGTGATGAGCGCAGGCCGATGTATGGAAGTGTTGAATCACTATATTGTACACCTGCAATTAATATTACACTGTATGGAGGCGCCTGGGTGGCTCAGTGGGTTAAAGCCTCTGCCTTCGGCTCAGGTCATGATCTCAGGGTCCTGGGATCGAGCCCCACATTGGGCTCTCTGTTCAATAGGGAGCCTGTTTCCCCCTCCCCGTCTGCCTGCCTCTCTGCCTATCTCTCTGCCTGCTTGTGAACTCTGTCAAATAAATAAATAAAATTAAAAAAAAAAAAAAGAAATTGAGTTTAAAAAAATATGACACTATATGTTAACTCATGGAATTTAAATAAAAACTTAAAAAAAAATAGACTAAAGTGCCAGTGACTTGATGTAACCGTGGTAAAATGTTGGAATATGCAGATCCTTATTGTGAATAAATTTACTGTGCCCTCTAAGGGGTATTGCCTTATAAAATGTATTAGAAGCAAAGCTGTCCAATTTTATAGACCAAAATAAGAAAGATTTGAGCATGAATGTGGAAATACGGGACTTCCTTCCTTAAGGACTTCTGCTTTAGCACAAATTTAGTGGGAATTGTTCTGTAGCTTGCTACTGCCACCTACTGGTTCTCCATTCTTGGCCTTCACCTCCTGGTTTACTGTAATCCATAGAAATAAAAGGAAATTAGGTCTATTTATTGGAATCCTTAAAATATTCTTTGCTGAGGGCGAGACAGAATTTTTATGTGGTCCACACAGGGTTTACTTTGTCGTATGCTTTTAGTGAACAAAGTCTTAAGTCTCTCTCCACTGTTAACAGTGTGCTACTTCTGTTTGCGTTTCTGACCAACATTTTTTTCCTTTGTCATCTTTTCCTAGTTTAATGGATCGAGAAGTGGCATTGCTTGCTGAAATGGACAAAGTGAAAGCCGAAGCAAGTAAGACTGATCTGTAGTTAAAGCTGTTACCAGTTAGTAGGCATGTGCTTTTCAACTCTCTTAACAAAAGCTCCATCTAATTGCCACTAGAAGAGTTTATGTATGTCTCAAGCACTTGTACTGCCCTGTCATGTGAATCCTTTCAGGTGAAACAACTTTACAAGAAACTGTTTTTTAATATTTTTGGATGTCAGCGTTTTAATGTAAACTGTAGTGTCTGGGGGACTGCTTCATAGTTTCTGCCACCACAGCCTCAGTTCGGAAAATAAAAGTATCCTCGCAGGTGCCTGGGCTTTGTTTTATTTTGTTTTTAGCTTCCAGTGATTATGGGGTTTTTTTCTACTTGGCAAAAAATGTTTGGCATCCTCAGAGGTGACCTCACTAGGTTCCCTGCACATTAGTGTAACCGTTATTGTGGTTACTGATCCCTGAAATTTGTTTTCTCAGTTTTCGAACAGTCTTCACTCAGCGTCTGTGGTCACTAGGTCGGGGAATTCAATAAAAGGAGGTTGTAGGATACCATGACTAGGGTTCCTTGAAAGCCTACTAAAAGATTCTGGAAGAGTAGAGTCTAACCTGGGTAATTTGTGGGGGTTTTTGTAGCAAAGAACCAGATGATCTGTTTTTGGTTTGTTTTTTTGTTTTTTTTTGTTGTTGTTTTTTTTGTGTTTTTTTTTTTTTTTTTTTTTTTTTTTTTGGTCATTTCTGAAAGGTTAGGTAAAAGATACACAGCTGTATGGAAAGAAGGGAATGTCAATTGCAGCTTCTACAATGGCATTGATTCCAGGCTTTTCAGCAGCGGGTTTTATCTTCATGTGTTGAATGCTAGATTTGTAATTAGCAGGGTTGTTTCTTTTAACCTGCTCTCAAACTGCTAAGAATGGAAATAGGTTGAGATGATGACTCACAATTAAACCATTTGTGTTTATGATCATGGGCCAGGGGAGGCATGGAGCTGAGTTCCATTTTGACCTGAAATGTTGAACAGGTACTCTCCACTGTTTTTCAGAGGTGAGATTTCATTTAAATTGAATGGTATATCCTGAAATGTCTAAATGTGACAATTTTGGTCCGTTCATGTACCTATGTGTTCTATTTTGAAGATGAAGTTTCAGATAAAATAAAACTAGTGAGAAGACATAGTCCTTACTTTTGAGAAGGTACTTTTTAAAAACAGAACTTTTATAGAAAATTCCAAACATATTTCAAATAGGCTAATTGCCATCATCCAGTTTCAACTAATTATCATCAATTCTCTCTCTTTTTTTTAAGATTTTATTTATTATTGAAGAGACACAGCAAGAAAGGGAACACAAGCAGGGGGAGCAGCAGAGGAAGAGGGAGAAGCAGGCTCCCCACTAAGAGGGGAGCCCGATGCGGGGCTTGATTCCAGGACCCCGGGATCATGACCCGAGCCAAAGGCAGCCACCCAACCCATTGAGCCACACAGGTGCCCCAGTTATCATCAATTCTTGACCAATCTTATCAAATTAAGAGCTACAGAGTTTTACTTAGTTTCATTGGTTGTACATCTGTATCTCCTTTCTCTCATGCTCAAAATCCTGGTTCACAGTGTCACTAAATGTAATTATTTACTGATACTATCAAGAAGGTGCTTCATTTTCTTTTTTACACATAATCGTTTTATTAATTTGCATGATCACAGTACTTCACAGTTTAGAGATTTTCTCTCATTCATCTATGATCTTCACATTAACCTTATGAGGTAATTAGGTTTTCCTATTTTTGTTTTCATTTAGTAAATGAAGAAACTAGTCCTTTGGAAAAACTGACTGGTCCTGAGTTATGTAACTGGGTCCTCTGATATATGTGGAGATCTTGACTTGACACATTTCCTTCATGTTGAGATCTGTGCTTTTGTCTTAGAATGCTAGAGTGCCGGGAGCTGAGAAGCAAGTGAATCTGGCAGACAGATTTTATCTTGGAAGCCAGATCAAGTAGATCATTTGTAACTGTTGGGCCTTGGTGTCAAGAAACTCTTATAGGCACATTCCTCACTTCCTGGGAAAGTGTGTTCTTACAGGTTCACCTGCCATAGATAGGGGCGCCCTATTTTTACTGAGCAGTTAGGCTCAGTAAAATTGCTCAAGACATTCAGCTCTCTGGAATACCTGGTGTAGCTCTTGGAAAATTCTGTTTACTTTCTAACACCAATCTGACTAATTTCTAAGTAGGTTGCAAGATTCTATGTTTAACAGTTAGGAACTGAGTTTGACGGCACGTAACAGAGTGGCCTAAATAAATGTGAGTTTATTTTTCTCTCATGAAATGAAAGGTCCAGAGGTAAGGGATCGGGGCTGGCAGGTCATTTTCAAAATGACACAAGGGACCCAGGCTTCTTTGTCTTTGTACCCAACCGTCTTTCGAGATACCTCCTAAGGCTCCAGCTGAGGAGAGGCCAAATGTTACCTGCTGGCTAAGACTCCTTTAAAGAGCTGTCGCTGTCCTGTAAGCCCCGCCCTGTGACTTCCGCTTAGAGCTCAATGACCAAACCTTGTGATAGCATAACCGAGTCATGGGATAACATGACTATCTTACCTGTAGCAAAGCCAAGAAAGGTAGATTTTTACTTAAGCAGATTGGTACCCAAAACACCAGACTTCCTGTAGGAAGAAGAGGAGAGTGCAGTGGCTAACAGTCTTTGCTACAGTCCACCCCTCAGCAACCTGACATCCTTCTTTTTTAAAAAATGGGAACACCCTCCCCTCATCCTCAATGGCAACGCGTCCAAAGACTCATCTAGTTCGTATATTCAGCTGAAAGTCCAGGACTGCTGGGTAATTTCACGTCTTTCAGCTGGTCTGGATATGGCATGTTGTGGTCTGGGGTCCCATAAGTTAGAAGTTAAATGCCCCCTCCTCCAATGTTATACAGATAGAGAAAGAAGAGGGTAATTATAGTAGAACATTCCCACCTGCAAAAGCAGTGATCTAATCTTACCAGGCAGGAATAATAGAGCACCTGCCCTTCTAACAGGGAAAGTTCCTTGGTTCATATGGCAGCGCCTAGTTCTGCTTCCTTGGAGGATTTCTTTGGCTTACGTCCTCTGTAGCCCCTGGTTCTCTACTCTGAGAGATTTTCCCCCATATTGTCTCTCATCTTCCATGGCCATATCTGAGTTCTGTATCCGGGAGCATGTCGAAAGCTGTAGACAATCTAAATATCCACCATCAGGGGACTTGGTGAATAATGATAGTGTAGGGGCACCTGAGTGGCTCAGTGGGTTAAAGCCTCTGCCTTCGGCTCAGGTAGTGATCCCAGGGTCCTGGGATTGAGCCCCACATTGGGCTCTCTGCTCAGCAGGGAGCCTGCTTCCTCCTCTCTTTGCCTACTTGTGATCTCTGTCTGTCAAATAAATAAATAAAATCTTTAAAAAAAAAAAATAATAATGATAGGGTAGCCACAGAGGAGACTGCAGTGTGGCTGGTAACCAGAGATGGAGATCCAATGTATTAGTAGCGAATGAACTTTGAGATACGTTAAGTAAAAATAGCTAAGGTAGAGGAGAGGGTCATATGTATGTGTACTCCCATTCATGAAGAGGGGAGAAAGGGAGAGAGATTTGCTGTGTGTGCACAGAATACCTTTGGAAAGATGCCAAGAGATTGTTAACACTGCTTTCTATTGGGGAGGGAACTACAAAGTCAGAAGTAGGAAGGACCTTTTTACTTTTCATCTTACACCCATTTATTCTAGAGAAATTTTTTACCCTGAGTACATATTTCTGTTTTAATTCATACATTTCTTGATAAAAAGAATATTTTTTCAACTGGGAAGAAGAGAAAGAGAAATGACAAATGATTTATGAGTCTTTATGATTCATAAAAAGTGTTTACCATTTAACTGCCTTCAGAGTCCCTCAAGAAGGTGGGAACTGGACCTTTGGTATTTTCATTTTCTGGATGGGTGGGCAGCTAAGCCTTTGGCTGTCCAAATACATACTGCAAGGCCCATATTTTCAATTCTTCTTTATCCCATTTAGCAGAACATAAGAGTCCCTCTCTTTTTCTCCACAGTGGAAATTTTGCTCAGCCGACAAAAGAAAGCCGAACTTCTAAAGAAGATGACTGATGTGGCTGTTCGAATGTCAGAGGAGCAATTGGTTGAGCTCAGAGCTGATATCAAGGTAAAACTTCCTTCTCTTTTCTGCCTTTCTTCTTACCCTCAGGGACTGAAGCAGCAGATCTCCATAATTCATGGCCATATCTAATCTATTGAACTCAAGATCTTCCCTTCTCAAACCTGGCCCTCTTCCATGTTCCCTTTCTCTGCAAGTGGTTCTGTCATCTATCTAGATGTCCAAGCTGAAAACCTTAGGACATTTCTCCTTTCCCACATTAAATCTATCAACAGACGCTGTCCATTTGACCTCCTACTAAATCTCAGCTCTGACCTTTTCTCCTCATCTCCACCACCACCGTCATGGTCAAGCCACTGTTATCTCTCATTTGGACTTCTGTCATGGCCTCTTAACTGATTCCACCCCTCCACTTTGCTACTGCCCCCCACCTTCCCTAGCCCTCCTACACCTTAGTAACCTGCTTCAAACCTTCCATTGCTTTTAGGATAAAGACTGTAATCCTTAACGTGGCCAGTGGGCTCTGCAGGGTCTGGCTCTGCCACCATCTCATTTCACACCACGCCCGCCTTGTTCTCTGTACTCTGGCCATCTTAGCTTCTCCTTCCCACAAACATATTCTGTTTCCTCCTGCAAGAGGACTACTGCATGTGCTTTTCGACCTGTACAAGACACACACCCTACCCACTCCCAGCACACAGATAACTCATGACCCACTCGTGCTTCCTGACTTCCCTGTCATATCCCCTCTTTTGTGTCATCCTAGTGTAGTTACCATTTAGTGTTCATTTGACTGATCTGTCTCCCCAGCCAAATGGCAAACTTTACAACGGCAGGAACTGGCGCATCTCTAGTGCCTAGCGTAGTGCCTTGGCACATAGTAGGTATTCAGTAAATATTTAAATGGTTGGTTAATTCTGATTTTATAAGAGCAAAGTGAGCAGTTTGAGATGTTGCTTTTATTGTAATCTGTTTAGAACAATGGCCTAGGTTGAGCAATCATACATTTTAAATTCTTATACAAAGAACAGTGTTTCTGAGACTAAGTGTAGAAACCTGCAAGAGGTTGAGGTGTTCGTGGGGAGTCGTAGACACTGGCATTCTAAATGATTGCTCATAACCTGTGAGCTGTGGAAACCAGGGGAATCGGCTATCCCTCCTCCTGAGCCCTTCACCTCTGCTCGGAACCCATGAGATTTCCTGCCATCTTTACAAGGAGGACTTGCTGCAGAGGCTGTTTCACAGTTTTTGTAAAGTAAAAACAGGTGGAAGATCCTCTTAGTCCTTCCAGGTGTCCTTGTCACCATCCTGACCCAGTCTTTCACTCCTTCCCTGTTAGACTCATAACGATAACACAACGATGCCCAGATGAAATTACCGTTTCTGATTAACTAGAACTATATTACTAAAAATTATAAAAAGTCATCTTCACATTGATGCCAGTCAGTCTCATTCAACTATCTGGGAGAAGCCGGAAACCCCTTTGGAATTAGATGAGAGTTCTGGCTCTCACAGGCTTCATCTGTTCTCCTTCCCACGTGGTTAAAAAGCTGCTAGAAATATTTCTGCAGGCTGACTAAGGATCTGTTTCTCTCCACGTTTTCAGTGTACCGAAGTGGGTGCTGTGCAATTTAAATGTCTTATTTCCAGATCATTTTATTTCCATCATTCCTGTTATGTCTCTGGCTCAACAAACCCTAGAATTTGTTTCAGAAATTACTCTCCAACTGATATTACATGTCTGAAGGCTTTATGTCAGAGGTTCATGGTGTTTTCTAAGCCACAGTGTACTCTGAAGCTGAGGACTTCAAGGCTCAGAGGGAATTTTGATGTCTTCTTTCCCATCTATTGCTTCTAGATCCATTGTAAGGATTCTGATGCATTTGGTTATAGCCCTTGACTATCCAAAATTGAATTAGACCACCTGCTAGAGGGCTGCTCTGAGGAGTTCAGTCCTTGTAAATTTTATCTAGGCCCTTAACTTGTCTTTTTGGCTTCCTTTTCATCTGGGGGAGGGGGGAAGATCCCAGGCTACTTTGGAGATGATTTACTGAAGGGTAACCCCAGAAGCACTTTACTCCTGACATGTTTCTAGTCGCACAGTCTCTGGTTAGTTTTGATCCAAGGTTACTTCTCAGCTTCGACTGCTTTAAAGGATTAAATTACTTGCAGCACAAACCCTTCTCATTTGCAGGGTTGTCTTTTTACATGAGTGATTTTCTGTCTCGGGAAGTTGTCCCCATTTTGAGGACTGTAACAAATCCTACTTCACAAAGGGCTGAAGTGGGTTTCCTGAGGAAGTTCCTGTTACAGAACACCAAGCTATCTATTTACACGGGATCCCTGTTGTAACTTAGGAGCATTTCTGCTGTCTCCACTTCTGTATAAAATGGAACAGTGTGGAGAGTGGCTAGTAGTGGAAAGATGACCCTCTCCACTATGAACTTCTTCTTCTAGCTCTCCAGTTTATTTCTCTTGATTATACCTAATGGGCTTTGGCCATCACAGAGCATTTCATAAAGAATAGATTTCTCTTTGGGCCTTAAGAAAGTGACTGGATTTCATCAGTCACCCAGCATAGGTAACATGATGGCCATTTTGCAAAAATTTGAAGCAGTAAAAAGAAGGCAGCGGGAAATAATTCTGTTTCATCTCTATATGGCAAGCTGCGGTTTCCACTTGTCTCACCTGGAGGCTTTCCTTTGTCCTTTCTCCAGCACTTTGTCAGTGAGCGCAAATACGATGAGGATCTGGGACGAGTAGCCCGGTTCACCTGTGATGTAGAGACCCTAAAGAAGGACATTGAGTCATTTGGACAAGGTAAGAGGGTGCGGGATTCTGGGCGCTGGCGATGGTGATGGGGAGACCCTACTCATAGAGACTGAAGTTGTGGCTTCTCCACTGATTCGTCTTTAGTGCCTCTTGTGTTTTTGTTTGCTTGTTTTTGGGAAAAGTAATTCTGAAATCACCAGATGCAGAGTCTTTGACTCAGAAGATGGGTGTTTTCCAGCTCCCTAAATTTCCAGTGTTTTGGGGCTCTGGAGTCAGACCAAATTTGAATCATTGCCTTTACATTAAACTCTAAGGCATCATTTCACTCCTCTCCCAAATGGAGATAATAGGTGCTTAAATAATAGCTGTAAGGGGATGGGGAGCCCTCCCCTAACTTGAGAGCTTATAGGGACACATCAGTCAAACACTGAGCTCAGCTCCTTTGTTCTTTCTGCATCAGTATAAAGTGAAAGGTTGAACCTAGAGCCGTGATTATGAACTCAGCGTCAGTCCGGGCTTAAAACCAAGACAAAAAAATGTAAGAGGTAGCTTTAAGTCATTGAATTCTGACAAAATTTGAAGTGAAAATGTTCATATATCTCAGATACATTGGTATTTTGAATTTGGGGTTATTTTTGTAGAAAAAACCTTGGGATGATACATTTTTGTTAAAAGACAAGTTCTGTTCATGTTTAACTAATCTTGATTATATCTTGCATCATACAAATTTTTTTTAAAAAGGATTTAGCTTTCTATTTACCTTTTTTCTTTCTTTGTGAAGTCAGTACTTGAGAATGTTCCTGCATAGGAAACTGAACATATGGCCCATACTATTGTTCCTAGGCTTAGTCAGCTGCTGGAGCCGTAGCCAGGAGTTTAGTAGGAAACGCTGAGAAGTCATTAGTTGGTGGGGGAACGATTACTCCGCTCTTACACTGTTCTCCTTTCTCTGTGAGTTCCTTTACAAAGCAGTGGGTATTCACTAACTGGAATTTAAATAAAAACTTGAAAAACAACAACAACAACAACAACAACAACCCAAAGCAATGGGGATTTGGAAGGAGTAGAAGAAGAGAGCAGAAGGGACATTTTGCTTCCTGTTACCGATTTTATAAGCTTACCTTTACAACTGCTCAGGTAGACAGTTCTTTATCTTAAGTTGCTTATTGTGAAACAGTGAAATAGGGAAAACCTTACCCATCATGCTCTTCCGTCACATGACGACATACTTCTCATGTTTTCGTTCAGTGTCCCACCCAAAGAACAGCTATTCAACCAGATCCCGGTGTAGCTCAGTGACATCTGTGTCCTTGAGTGGCCCATGTGATGCCTCTGCTGCTTCCTCTTCCACCTGTGCCTCTGCTTCCAGCCTTACAAGCGCTAACAAGAAAAACTCAGCACCAGGAGAGACTCCCGCAGCCCCAGTCAGCTCCGGCGGCCGGCCCTATCAGCCTCATCGAGAGGTAACCCGGCAGCCCCGTGGAGCCAGTGACGGAGAAAAGTTACCGGATTGCCGCCATTCGAATGCTGACAGCTCAGTCCATTACTTTCCTCTCTTGATGCCCATTCCACACCTATTTTGAATCCCTCCAGCCCCAATTAGTTCCAGAGAAAGCATTTGGTATGTCTGTTCCAAACCAGCAGCTAGCTTAGGTCTCCTGTTGCCAAGACGGCTGACTTTCTGAAGTTGGCGGCTGTCCTAGCTTTTGTAGGTAGGATTGCCTGGTAATTAGTCACCGGGACCCATGCCCCCATCTCGAGATGGAGGCACAGCGTAGTGGCAGGCTCAGCGGAGGGCTTTCTAGAAGCCCCCGTGTGGAGTAGCTCGGGGAGACGGCATGAACCTGGTGGCATGGGGGGCCAGCACCAGGAAGCTGAAGCGTGATCCATAGTTTCTTTTCCTGGTTTGAAGAATGTATACCAGAGCCATCCAAGGCAGTGCTGTGCAGAACTGGGATTATGTTGGAAGAGGAGGACGAAAATAAAACCCCGTGCCGCAAGCCTTCTGGGTTGTAACGTGAAAGATGGCCTGAATGTCACAGCGGCGGGATTTAATCTATGGCTGATGATACATAGCAAAGCAGATTACAATGATGTTTATTTTATTTTTCCAGATGTTTATCTTTACAAATGGCTTGTGATCCACAGAGTTCAGTCACGTGATAAGATGCTTGCCCAGTTGAGGGTTGGAACAGCCCAGAGAATGTTCTTTCCTCCTTCTTAGCTTTCTTCTTGTGCCTAGCTAAAGAAAAGTGAACTCCTCTCCAGTGGAGAGCCTAGGGGTGGAAGGTGGGGGAGAAGTAGCGAAAGACTTCTTAATTCTGGGGTAGGCGCTAGGTCGGATTGGCTGACACAATTCTGGGAGTCTTGAGAGATAACGGAGTCCCGAGTATGGGATACCACAATTTAGGATTTCAGAGTATTCCTGTAAGCTGAACTGGAACAGGGTGCCATAATGCCACAGTGCTTTGAACATTGTATTCTTTTATCCTCAGGTATTGCCGGGGAACAGACGAGGAGGACAAGGCTACAGGCCACAAGGCCAAAAGTCCAATGATGCCATGAACCAAGGGCGACATGACAGTGTGGGTCGTTACAGAAATAGTTCCTGGTATTCATCTGGTTCCAGGTACCAGAGCACTACATCCCAGGCATCGGGAAATGTTAGCGAACGGGGCCAGGCCCCCTCTGCAGGGACCAATGGAACTGGAGCCAGCATGGAGCCCAGCCCACCCAAGCCCTCATTCAAGAAGGGGCTCCCCCAGCGCAAACCTAGGACCTCTCAGCTTGGGACTGTGAACTCTTGAGGGCAGTTCTGCTTGGCCTCTCTCCTCTATCCCACACAATTCAACTTGGTAACTGGACTTATTAGGAAACTTATAGTTAGATGTAATAACAAAAAGAAGTTTACGCATATCACTTTTTATGCCATTCTAAATATTTTTGGTTTCTTCTCTCCTCGTTTCCCCTTTACTATTTTTGGAGGGGAAGCTGTTTTTTTCCTTGACCTTTCCCAATGATATGGATTGATTCTGATTGGTCATTTCCACCCGGACTCACAGGCCACCGATGCCCAGGTTTCCCCAGGGTCAGCAGTGCCCTTCCTGGTGCACCAGACCTTTCAATCGCCCAGGAGGCCTTCCTCAGCACCTCCCTCCTGTTCAGGCTCTCAGGAGGAGGAGGAGGTGGGTCAGAGCTAGTCCAGCTGCTTCTCCAGGCTCAGCAGAAGCTGCACATTGCTATCAGGTGCCCCCTACACGACAGTATAACCAGGAAAGGCAGGGAGGGGATTGTGTCCAGCACTGAATTAGCCAGAGATGGGGATACTGAATTGGTGAAAAGGAAGGAACACTAGAAAACATGAGAATCTGCCTGTGCTCCCAAAGCGTGCCTGAGATAGACCTCCCAGATCAGGGTTTCAGTCTCCCGCTTGGCATTGTAGCTTAACCTGCGGTCGCTTCAGAATGCCCAGAGGCTTGTTTTTCTCTCTCTTTAGACTGCAGACCAGTCTAGGGAAGCCTACAGGAGAGTAGCATTTAATTAAAGGAAAAAAAAAAAGTATTTCTTTGTTTCAATGTTTGAAGACTTTTGTTGTTATTGTTCTCCCTTTTTTCCCCGAATCCTCTTCTGATCCTCAACCACATTTATAGCAATATAATTAGTGTTGATCTAAGGTGTTACCCATCAAAAAATTGCCGCGGTCTTTATAGTTGAATAAATAAAAACAACTGCGTGAATGTTCCCATCTTTGTTTCAAGGCAGCAAATGCCTTCATTTCATTATCCGGTTTTCTTTGGGCCTCATGGGGTGGGAGTCCGTCGGGCAGCTTGTTCGGGGCTTAAATGAGGCTAGCTGATTCCTAAGTCTTCTGTCCGCCAAGCGGCATCTGGTGAAAACAGGAAGGCCAGCATGAGCAAATGCAGCTGTTCCTCGTGGGAGCAGATTCGTAGTACAGGGAGCGGTGACTTTCCAAAGGGAGCTCACCAGTTGAGAAAAACCACAGCTGCCAGCAGCTCTCCCGGGCAAGCCCTCCCCTCCACTGCCTGTCCCTTGACAGGCATGGTGAATGTGACAGTGTAATTGAGCACCTGCGTGTAGCAGGTGGCTCAGGGGCCAGACCCCTCCACCCTACACCGCCCCCAGCATCCGTGATCGAATGACAGCAGAGCTTTCTCCTCCGGAGTCTGCAGTCCAGACCGTGAGCGGCAGTGGTGCAGAACTTAGCTGCCTTGGGGCTTCCCTTGGCTCTTCGGCTGCAGCTCGGCTGCCGGGGTTCAGGTTGGATGAACAGATTGAGAGAGGGAGAAAGAGAGAGCGAGTGTGTGTGTGTGTGTGTCTTTCAGTAAAGAAAACAGTAGTCAAGGAATACTGGGAAGCCATTTTCTAAAGGGCTGATCACCTCATTTCGGGGCATTTGTCCAACACCACCACCAGCCTGCTGGGGGTCAGGGAGAAGCCCTCCTTTTCTGATTAACTGCTCCCCTATACTTGATAGAAAATCCAGAGACTGAAGTGACCTTGAAGGATTATGAGGTCTATCCCTGTATCCATGCAAGACTGTATTTAACCTCCTAGGCAAATGGGAGGCCACATGTTTTCAAAACCACTTTGAAGAGAGGGGCTGGGCTGGCTCAGTCAGTAGAGTGTGTGACTCTCGATCTCAGGGTTGTGGGGCCTGCATGGCTAAGTGGTTGGGCCTCCTCTGACTCAGTTTCAGTGCAGGTCAGGTCATGATCTCATGGGTCGTGGGATCAGGCCTGCTTTGGGCTCCTCAGCGGGGAGTCTGCTTGGGGATTCTCTCCCTCGGCACCTCCCCCTACTCTCTCCCTCTCTCCCTCAAATAAGTAAGTAAATCTTTAAAAAAAAAAAAAAAAGTATACAACTTAGATCTCTTTCCATGTCAGTATGCCTAAGTATACCTTGTTCTTTCTATGGCTGCATAATATCACACTATATAACCTTAACATAATTAACCAGTCCCTAATGCTAATGATGGTTTTCAGTTTTTTGTTATAAGTATTGCTGAAATGAACATCTTGTAATACATATATAATTTTTACTTGTGAGCATATATCTTCAGGGCAGATTCCTAGCATGGGATTGCTGGGCCATATAGTGATTTAAAAAGCCCTCTTAGGGGGTGCCTGGGTGGCTCAGTGGGTTGAGCCACTGCCTTCGGCTCGGGTCATGATCTCAGAGTCCTGGGATCGAGCCCCACATCGGGCTCTCTGCTCAGCGGGGAGCCTGCTTCCCCCTCTCTCTGCCTGCCTCTCTGCCTACTTGTGATCTCTCTCTCTCTCTCTCTCTCTCTCTCTCTCTGTCAAGTAAATAAATAAATCTTTAAAAAGCCCTCTTAGGGGCGCCTGAGTGGCTCAGTCGGTTAAGCGTCTGCCTTCCGCTCGGGTCATGATCTCAGGGTCCTGGGATCCAGCCCCACATCGGGCTCTCTGCTCCGCGGGAAGCCTCCTTCTCCCTCTCTCATTCCCCCTGCTTGTGTTCCCTCTCCGCTGTGTCTCTGTCAAATAAATTTTTAAAAATCTTTAAAAAAGAAAAAGCAAGAAAAAGAAAAAAGAAAAAGCCCTCTTAAAGATACATGGATTCACACTCTCATCAACAACCTTTGGGGGTGCTTTATACAGTTGCTAAGCTGGAAGCTAAGAGAGGTGAAGGTAAGTGAACTACAGACCTTCAAGGGGCTGATACCCTAGTTGGGGGAACTGACACAATGAATAAAATGCTAGGAGGTGGTAGCGTTGCATGAAAGAACCCCCCCCATCTGGTGTGAGGACAGCAGAGGACAGACCACGCTGAGGGCTGGGACCTGCGCTTACAGTAGGACTACACCAAGGAATGGTCAGGCCTTTGTTCAGTGGCTTACAGATACGGTGACTTCCAATTTCAGAATCCCCAGCCAGGGTACAGTCATGAGCGTTCAAAGCGTGCATGAGGAAAAGCGAAACAAGCTCTTTTGGGTTGGGCGTGACCTGGAGAAGCCAGCCAGCAGTCATCATCTCCAGTCCGGGAATGAGCCTGTACTTTTGGAGATCAGTGAAGTAATGTTATGTTGCCCCCTGGAAATTCTGCCACCTCACCTAACGAAATGAGGATCTGGCTTGCCTGATGCATACGGTTCAACCCACCTTCTTGTCCCACCTGGTGGGGATTAGATCCACAAGGTAGCACACTTTGTGGAAGAAACAGTTGTTCAAATCACATAATCGGAGGTCACCCACCAAGAAGCTGTTTTGTCACTGTTTTCGGCCGGTTCAGAGTACCAGAGCAAATCCTCGTAGCCAGAACCGTTCTGTCGGTCAAACTCGACTTCTGGTAGCCACGGGAGCACATTCTTTCCTTCAAACACTGAGGCACCTACTGTGTGCAGGGCACCATGTTGAGTTCTGAGGCAAAGATAAATGGTTCCAACTCTTTCCTCAGCCACTTTGCAGGTGGAGGGAAACAGAGCTCTTAGCTCTTTAAACCTTTGGAAGCCGTGTCTGGTGGCTATGCAGAGGAGTGGGAAGACCCAGGACTTTGGAGACACCTACTTGGATTTTAATTCTGGCTTCCCAGCCTTCTAGCTCTGTGACCGACTAGCCTTGGGCAAATTACTGTGAGCCTCTTCCTGAACTGTAAGTGGACCCAATGGTAACTATTTCCCAGACAGCGGGGGCTAGCTAACCAGGAGCTGCAGGTCGGTACCCTGGTGTCTGAGCTAACCGGTGACAAACTGAACATTTACTCACCAGAACTTCTTTGCTTCTCTCTCTTGCCCTGTTCAGAAGTGTCTGAAAGACTTCCCGTATCTCCAGCCAGACCGACCTGTTTAAAAATGTTTAAAAAAAGAATGACTTCATTATTCTGTCCCTTCTGTAGCTTTTCTCCTGCGTGCCTATCCCCCCAGCACTGCGCTCTGGACCTCTCTTGCCTGTCTGACACACTGAGAAGCCTACTGTCACCCCCCATTTCTGAGCTCTCGGTGGTGGGGGGGCAAGCAGGGGGCAGGCCAGAGGCTGATGGGGCTGGCCTGGGTGAACAGCTGCACAGCAGCATGCCCAGGGGAGAGCGGGGGGAACGTTCCTTCTGTCCAGGTGCCGAGGCTGCTTTGTTACCTGCCCTGCTCCTCACCCAGGGGGAGACGCTATGTGACGATGTTCCTGGGTAAGGAAACCCACCCACCATCACTACCACCAGCACAACTGTTCCCCAGCCCGCCCGCCCCTTCACTGCCGTCAAAACAGCAGGAACAAATACCACCCACTCTGATTCCTCAAGGAAAAAGTCAGGTCTCCTTTTTATGTCTCTCTTCAACTTAACCCAGTTAGGCTTTCTCTATACCTTACTTTCAAACAAATCCGTTTTCTGGTGTTGCTAGAACACGCAGATTGACATTGAGATCGCTCAGACTCCCTTGCCTGACACAGTCCGGACCCTGGTAGAGTCCCCTCCCCACGGGGCTGGGGAGCCAGCAGTCCCCCGCAGTAGCTCCCCATAGTTTGGGGGCTGGGTTACTGGGCACAGTGGGCACTCAGGACAGGTCACTATCTGCATACTCATCAAAAGGGCCATGCTGTCCCTTTGAATAGGCTGTTTACCAAAGGATAGAAGAAAGCACTCCAGCAAGATGGCATGTAACAAACTGTCAGCCTAGTCAAATCTCAATTCAGGCCTGGTTCCTCCACTTACTAGCCGTATAATACACAGCATTTTCCACATCTGTACATAAAACCATCCATCTTCCAGGATTCCCTCCTTTGAAAATGTATTATGGTTTACTCACACAAGTTGGGATCCTCCACAAACAGAAAAGGAATCACTTAGAATGATATAGCCAAGGAGTGGCCAAGTACTGGAGGCCTCAAAAATTTCCCCCAAATGTTTGTTTTGGTGGAGTTGGGGAACCTTCCGGGAGGCTTCCTCCTGAGCTCATTTCTGCGTTCCCAGCCCCCACAGCCAGGAAGAGCACTTAGGGGGACTTTGATAACAATCCCAACCACCTACTAAACTCATCTCAACAGTCCTTTGAAGAGAGATCAATTCACAAATGACGAACAGATGCTCTTGGAGATTCACACCCACCTCACTCCTTTCCCGACCAAGGTCATCAGTGGCAGAGCTACAATTCAAATCCAGATTCGCCTGACTTGGAAACAGATTTTCCCACCGCTCAACACAGGCTTGGAAGCAGAGCCTGGCCACAGGCTGAAAGAGCGGGGCTGGAAACAGACCTGGGGACCTCCAGGAAGGAGAGAGAGAGTGGGAAGAGGGGAGGAGACGGGAGGGCCCCTGGGCTCTGTTCCTCGACAGCCACCTGCTCTCACCCCCTGCACACAGTGACTGACTCCGCCTGCGCTTTGGGGGGCGGGGTGCTTCTTCCATCTTTTGTGTCTTGAACGTTTTTTCCCTTGCTTTGCTCTTCCCTTCTCTCTCCTAGTTCCTTTTGTAGATAATACTCCCACAGGCCTCCCACGGCAGCTCCAAAATGCAGCCTCCTGAGTTTCTTCTTGATAATGGCTTTGAGTTGTCTCTGAACAGGGCTCCCTCGACCTTCCCCTCCCTGTGACTCCCCACCATGACCCAATGACTTAAGAGTTGGGGGATGGAAGAGAAAAGGGGCTTACTGTGCTCCCTGACCTCCCAGTACCCCTGCTCACTTCTCAGCTCCTCCCCAACCCCATCTATCCCGTCTCCTAGATGTGGGTCCCCACCCCCACATAACTGTATGGTGGGGGAGGAGAGGCATAGAAGGAGGAGGCAAGGAATCTCTTACTGTTAGCGAAGGGGGCCTATAGGCCAAGTCTAGCAGGAAGACCTGAGAGACTAGGTGAGGTGGAAGAGGGAGGAGAGCGGGAGACCCTATGCCTGAACACTTACTTGCTTCTGGGCCAAAAGGGCACCATAAATCAGGTCAGACTGAAGGACTTGGGCAGTGTCCCCGGCCCCACTCCTCCCGCTTGGCGCAAAGTTAATGCTCCGGAAACATACACTATAATTCTTTGCAGCACCCTGTATTCCATCTATCCCCTGCTCACCCTGACCCGAGATACCTGCTTTGGGTTTGTCTTAATATCTAAACCAGTGTCTTTAATAACCCAAATCAGCCTAGGCTGATGAGCTGGAAGCCTGAAAATCTGAACACTTGGGGTTTAAATGGGTGACAGGAGGGTCACCAGGATCTGCTTACACAGTCCTGGGTAACCAGTCCTTGTGAGTGTCCACACAGCTAGCCTGAGCTGCTTTCTGGGCCCCTGGTGGGAGATGGCTGAGTGGCTGGGCTAGGGGGTGGACCGAGGGTGGGGAGGAGGGGAGAGGCGACT